AATTCTGAACAACCTAGAGGGAGAAAAAGATACTGGGGACTCTCCTGAGATAAAGGCAGCCTCATCATCTGATCACTTTATAGGAGAGTCCAAGACTCAACAAGCCCTGTAATACAGCCATCTCTGGGGAGCCGTAAACTGGGCGAGGATCAGAGGCCGGCTTGAAGGGAGGGGCCCAAACAAGCAAACAGAAAACCCAGACAGAACAGGGAAAAGGTAAGCCCATAGGAAAGTTACTTGAGAGATAAAAGAGGTTGCATTTGTAAGACAAGATTGGAACTTTTAAAAGAACAGCCAAGGAAGAAGGAAGAACATCTTAGAACATAAATATAAGGTATTTGGGTAGTCTAAATGAAAATTCAGCGGAGGATTGGAGGATGCAATCAAAGACATCTCCTAGACGTGAAAGCAAATGCTCTTGAGGCAAAAGGGAAAGTCTCAAAGTGGATCATTGTCCCATTTCTCAGGTTAGGGGGTCACTAGGACCAGCTGAGGCCCCCCGTTCAGAGCTGAGGAGGAGAACTTAGGGTGGCCATCACAGCTGCTTTTCTTCGGTCTGTTTTTGGCTGCCCCAGGTCTCCGTGGCTGCATGACGGCATTCTCTGCCTGCAGTGACGGGGCTGCTCTCTGGCCGCGGTGCAGCTCCTCGCTGGGAGCACGGGGCCCTGGGCGTGCGGCTGCATGGCTGAGGCGCCCGGCTCAGCTGCTCCCAGGCGCGTGGGATCTTCCTGAGCCAGGGCTCCAGTCCGTGTCCCGGCATTGGCACATGGATTCGCAAACACGGAGCCACCAGGGTGGGCCCTGGGCGTGCGGCTGCATGGCTGAGGCGCCCGGCTCAGCTGCTCCCAGGCGTGTGGGATCTTCCTGAGCCAGGGCTCCAGTCCGTGTCCCGGCATTGGCACATGGATTCGCAAACACGGAGCCACCAGGGAAGCCCCTGCTCCCGCGTTCTGTCCTGGGTCTGCTTGCACTTGATGCTCATTTTTACTTCCAGTGCTCTTGCAGCTGTTTCCCTTCTATTAGATGTTGTTTACAGACTTCCATCTATTGCTTATAGATAACCCTTCATTGCTTTCTTTTGCTTAATAAAACAATATGTAGTACAATATTGAGAAAACAACACAGAAGAAAATAAAAGCACGTGTACGTTCACCACTGCAGCCATGAAATGAAGACACTTGCTCCTTGGAAGGAAAGCTATGTCAAATCTAGACAGTGTATTAAAAAACAGAGACCTCACTTTGCTGACAAAGGTCCTTATAGTCAAAGCTCTAGTTTTCCCAGTGGTCATGTATGGATGTGAGAGTTGGACCAGAAAGGAAGCTGAGTATCGAAGAACTGATACTTTCAAACTGTGGTGCTGGAGAAGACTCTTGATAGTACCTTGGACAGCAAGGAGATCAAGTCAGTCAGTCCTAAAGGAAATCAACCCTGAATAATCATTGGAAGGACTGATGCTGAAGCTGAAGCTCCAAAATTTTGGCCAACCGATTCGAAGAACTGGCCCATTGGAAATGACCCTGATGGTGGGAAAGATTGAAGGCAGAAGGAGAAGGGGGCGACAGAGGATGAGGTGGTTAGATAGCATCACCAACTCAATGGACATGAATTGGCGAAAACTCTGGGAGATAGTGAAGGGCAGAGCGGCCTGGTGCACCGCAGTCCACGGGGTCTCGAAGTGAGACATGACTTAGTGACTGAACAACAACAAAAAATGCACCACTCAGAAATGGCAATCAGCTCACACCTCTTTGTGTCTGTTCTGTGCGTATTGCCAACAGACATGAGGTTCTGTGAATTTGTACGATACAAATGTATATCTCTGTTTTAAATTCATGTTGTTTCATGAACATTTAAAAATGGTTTATATACATGATTTTAAACAATTCCGTGATAGCATATCATTTGAAGGTAATGTATTTTATTTGACCATTTGCCTATTGTTGCGTACTTAGTAGTTTATACAACTAAGACAAAACTTCATTTTGCTTGTCTGTTACTGCACCACATGAAAAATTACACAACAGATTTTCACCAAACTGGGGGATTATGTTTGGTATTCATTCAAATACATAGATTCAAAGTGTAGGCTATGAAGAAGAGAGTATATTCATGTCTTGGAACTTGACAGAGAAATGATAGGGAAGGGAAAATAATTTTCCTTCTACCTTTCTGAGTTCTAGACTAGAACCTTATGTGACGAAAGACATTAACAAGAGAAAAACAAACATATTTATTAACATGTATACCTCATATGTACACAGAAAAAATCCAGGAAAACTGAGTAACTCCAAGATGGCTCAAGCCACCACTATAAGTACCATTTAGCTAAAGACAAAAAAGATGTTAACAGAGAACTATATTCAGTATCCTGTGATAAAGCATAATGGAAAAGAATATTTTAATATATATGTATAACTCAATCATTTTGCTGGACAGCAGAAATTAACACATGGTAAATCAACTATACTTCAATGTTTAAAAAAAGCTCATGTAACCATGAAAAAAAAAAAACCAATTGGTGCAAAAAGAAGGCCAGCTATGGCAGGTTACCAGGGGAAGCATGGTAAGCAAGGATAAGGTTTATTACACAGTTTAAATTGGTAAATTCTCCATTGATAAGTTTCTGGACATTTAGATCCAAACTTCTCTTCCTCATACAGAGAAGGAGACACGTTTACAAGTAACCTCTTTTGTGAAAAGCATGCAGTCCTTACAGAAGAGCAGCTTCTACTCCGTTTTCAGAGCTGTGCTCATGTCTGCTACTTATTAAAGCAATCAGTTCAACATAATCCTTATGCCCAAGAGGCACGTTTGGGGGTGGCGAGTTCTGCATCCTTCATACCTCAAGCTGATGAGCAGGCATCCTTGAGAAGAGCTCCGTGACTGAGGTGATGAACACATGTATTATGATGACGCCACAGACGGAAATCAGATATGATGGCTTCCATCTTTGTGCCCTGCATCAAACAACCTGAGGACATCCAAACCTGATTATAGCTACTGGTTTGGAGTCAAACTGCTTTCCAAGTGGGCAACTCTGGGAGGAATATCGAGGGTATTTCTGTCCAATAAAATGTTTGCATGATGGAAACCTGGAATATCTACTGTCAAACACTCGAAGGGAAGTGGATGAGGGACATCAGGCCATGGACTGATGGACCTGTCAGTCTACCCATCCTTCCTTCCATCTCTCTAATCATCTGTCATCTGGAGAGTAACTGCTCTGGGTGTCCCCAGCTTTAGGAAGTAATCTTCCCATTAAATATTTAAAAGAATGGTTGGTGCTTATATAACATGCATGGTAAGAGAAACTTTATGTTCCCTGATACCCCTGAGATTTCTTCTAATTTCCAGCTGAATTAAAGAATTACTTGTCTATCAAAATTAAAGGAAATGGAAAAGGTCACATATCTCTCCTCTCTTTTCCCCACTCTCTTCAGCTCAAGTTAGAACACAGTCCCTTTCCTTTTTTACACTGGATTCTTCTCCCTTTGTGTAGTTATAAGTAGAATTTACTCAAGATTTGGCGTAAAGGCTGGGCTGCGTGTCATTGGCCAGTTCTCATCCTGGGTCTCTGGCCTCTGACCTTATTGTTTCATCTTTCCCTTCGCTCACTTTTCCTTTTCTTTCTTCCTATTTTATTCTATTTTTTTTGTCATACCATGCAGCATGAAGGATCTTAGTGTCCCAAAAAGGGATCACACTTGTCCCCCTGCATCGAGAGCACAGAGCCCTGCCCAGTGGACCATCAGGCAAGTTTCCTCTCAATCTTACTAATCACCTCCCTCAATCCTTCCTTACTCTGTCCCATCAGGAGTTCCTAATTTTCTTCCATTTGTTGCTGTTGTTGGTTTAGTCACTCAGCTGTGTCCAACCCTTTTGCAACCCCATGGACTGTAGCCCACCAGGCAAGAATACTGGAGTGGGTTGCCATTTCCTTCTCCAGGGGCTCTTCCTGACCCAGGGATCGAATCTGCGTCTCCTGCATTGGCAGTCAAATTCTTAACCACTGAGCCAGGAGGGAAGCCCCACTCTTTGGCAAACGAACTAAATTCTCTGTCTGAGCATGTCTGTGGGCATCCTCTTTTGTACTCAGATGTCATCAAGATGCTCTCTTAATCTTTGTTGGTTTTCCCTCTAAGGGGAATTCTGCAGTTAACGTTCATCATAATAAAAAACTTCCACCTATTCGTCTGTATCCATCTGTCTGTATTGTCATCCAGCCATCCCTCATTCATCTGATCCGTCTACCCCCTGCCAACGCCTGTAGAGTCATCCCTCCACCCAACTCTCAGCCTCTCTGCTTTTCACCGATTCTCCCCTGCCCCCTCCAGAGACCTAGAACACTCTTACGGGATTTCTTTCTCTTTGTTTTTTAAAGAGAAACTTATGCTTTGCAAAAACAGCTATCAGCTGCCTTGAAATGATAAAGGGGAAATGATAAAGGGCTGGGAATGAGCAGTTATAATCTTTGCTTGGGCAAGAGAAGGACAGATAAGACCCAGATTAGAAATAAGTGAACAAAGCCAAGTGAGGTTTGGACCATTCACAGAAGGAGCTGGCCAGGGGGCACATGTTGGCATATATCAAAAGCCAGGGTGTTGGCGGAAGTACACCCATAATGCAAACACACGCATGCACACTCAGAAATACTTATAGTTTGTATTTAGCTTGAGTTCAGTCTCAGTCCCACTGAACTGATATTAATAGGATAGCTGATAATTAACCTGTGAACTATGACAAGATATTTCTGAAAGCGAAATCCCGTAGCAAGTTGCAGAGTTCCTAAACTGTAAAATAAATAAATAAATAAAGGTAAACTTAAAATATACATAGCATATAATGTTTGTATTATACATCAGGATGGTTTTAGATTTGCTATTTGCTATTCCTATTTTTTCTTGTGTTAAGTAGTTGAAGTGTTAGAAGCATAGGCCAAATTGGATATACATTCCCTGTACCCTCACAATGACCAATTACTGCTTTTCTCCCCTTAGGCAGGGAAAGTTCTTCCGATTGGATACAGAGTTGCAACCTGCTTGACTGAAAAATTTCCCAGGGTGAGTGTTTTCAATATGCATTTGTCTGAACCTAAGGTAAACAATATTCAACATTCCTTATGTGAGTTGCATAACTTTAATGTGGTCCATTTGGATTTTTGTTTTACTGTATTTTAATAACCTCAGATATGCAGATGACACCACCCTTATGGCAGAAAGTGAATATGAACTAGAAAGCTTCTTGATGAAAGNCAATGGGCATGAGTTTGAGTAAACTCCGGGAATTTGTGATGGACAGGGAGGCCTGGCATACTGTGATTCATGGGGTCGCAAAGAGTCGGACATGACTGAGTGACTGAACTGAACTGAACTGAACTGAAGACCTTCTGTAGAGTTTGAATGAAAATCCAAGGCTTACGATTTCCAGCTCTATGAAAACTACTGGATATTTCCATTTATTTAGATAGGAAATAGTCTTTAATGGTATGCTTCCTAACCTAAATACTTCCTGGTTGTTTTCTAAATACAACTCATTTTTATTGGAGTATAGTTGATTCATGATGATTTATGATGTTCTGTTAGTTTCATAAATACAGCAAAGTGAATCATATATATATATATATATATCCACTCTTTTTTAGATTCTTTTCCCATGTAGGTAGAGTTCCCTGTGCTATACAATAGGTTCTTACTAGTTACCTATTTTATATATAGTAGTGTGTATATGTTAATCCCAAACTCCTAATTTATCCCCCACCTCCTTTCCCCTTTGGTAATCATAATTCTACATCTGTGACTCCATTTCTGCTTTGTAGATAAGTTCATTTGTATCATCTTTATAGATTTCAGATATAAGGCATATCATGATATCTGTCTTTCTCTGTCTGACTTAGTGTGATAATCTAGTATGATATTTTCTAGATATAAGGCATATCATGATATGTCTTTTTCTGTCTGGCTTACTCAGTGTGATAATCTCTAGGTCTATCCATGCTGCTGCAGCTAAATATAACTTTAAAAATATGTTGCTTATTTTCATTAAAACCTTTCAGGATGTTTTATTATTGGGTGCTGGAGTTCCCCAGGTGCTTGTTACACTCATGTATAACAAGTTCATTGATTGGTATAGATCAGCCTTGCTGATATCAGTCAACTGTACTTGATGATTCTATTTTCTTCTCACTGTTGGCAGCTAATGACCCCACCTGAGGCAAAAAAATTTTTCAACTTCAGATATCCACCTGCTGGAGCCGAAAGAGTATTTTACGGCAGAGCAAATGATCCCCAAATCGCACCTTCCTTGACACACGGAATAAGATCGAAAACTTCGATACCGGTAACTTCTTTTCTGTTTTTCCCTGTATGTTATTCACTTCCAAGGGGAAAATGCAGAAATGGAGTGTTAGTGAAATCATCAGTCCCAACCTCCTTCTTGCTCTTAATGAAAAAATCCAAGCAGCCGTAGGCAAGAGCGAGTGCGGGAAAGTCAACGGCTTAAGCCCCAAACTGCGTATAGTTCCCTTGGATGATAAAAGCCGAGCCACATTTCATTTTCCCACGGTAAAAAGGGGTGGGCTTCCCCAAGATAGCTCAGCTGGTAAAGAATCCGCCTGCAATGCAGGAGACCCTAGTTCCACCCCTGGGTCAGGAAGGTCCCCTGGAGAAGGGAAAGGCTACCCACTCCAGTATTCTGGCCTGGAGAAGCCCATGGACTGTATAGTCCATGGGGTGGCAAAGAGT